GTAAATTGTAAAAAAAAAAGAGAGAGAGAGGAAGAGAGAGAGAGAGAGAGAGAGAGAGAGAGAGAGAGAGAGAGAGAGAGAGAGAGAGAGAGCGCTTTGAGCTGGTCCTTCGCTCCGATGCCAGGTCCTTCCTCCCGCTGGATGCAAGAGATTCCGGTTTCCTGAAAAGCTGTCCGAGAGGGCCACTGGCTCTCACCATCGGCCTCGACTTGGTCATCAATTTCGTGCCATTTCTCTCAGACCTCTCAGGTGCCAGAGACGTCACGCCAGTGCACAGCCTTTCAACCAGTAACCCCATCCAGTTGAGCGCTGCCCACAGCGGGGAGGCAGAGACCTGTATTTGGATTTAGACTTAGCCATTACCCAGCCAGGTGGGCGCGGGGGTCCCCAGGCGCTCTCCAGGTCCTCATCTGTGGGGCGGGGGCGGCTGCACCTCGAGGACCGAGAGGACTAGGGTATAGGAAGCACTCCTGGGAGGAATGGGGATGAAGGACAGAGGGGATGGCACCTGGGCGGACTCTTTGAGTGCACAGTCTGCCTATGCAGACTTTCTCCCGTTAATCTCGAACCGCCCACACACGTGTGCATGCACCACCGTTGCTGGAGAGCTGAGCTAATTGGTTTTAAAGTCTTTCCCTTATCTTTTCCCGTGGCAGGCAGTATCTATATGTGTAGCAGCCGTGTGCCTGTGCAGTTGGAAGAAGTAGCAGGCAGAGACAGGGTGCTGTCACCATGGTCCACAGTCAGCCCATGATAAGACTCAAGAGCCGGGTCCAGATCCGCAGCCTCCTGGCCCGGCAGTGCCTGGCAGAGTTCCTGAGCGTGTTCGTGCTCATGGTAGGCAGGGTGCTCGGGGAAGGAACCGGGAGGGGGGGCGATTGTTCTGGGCGCTGCCTGGTGTCCCCTCCACATCTTGCCGGCCTCCTACCCTGTCACTTCGTTCCTGTCCCTTCCCGCCTGTCCTCCTCCCTCTCTTCCCTGGCTCTCCCTCCTGCCCCCATCTCCCCTCCCCTTGCTGAGCCCTCACGTCCTCATCATTCATCCCTCTCGACCGCTCCCCTCACTTTTCCGGGCTCTGTCCCCTGTTGGTCCACCAGGCTCCCCGTCCCTGGATCCCTGCTCCTCATCTTCCCTGTCCCCACCAGTTCCTCACCCAGGGGGCCGTGGCCCAGACTGTCACCAGCAGAGGGGCCAAAGGCAACTTCTTCACCTCATTCCTGGCGGGTGCCCTGGCTGTGACGGCAGCCATCTACGTGGGTGGCAATGTCTCAGGTGAGGGGCTGGGGGCTGGGCGCTGACTGGGGCAGGACACGCCTGTGAGTGTGGGTGTGCGCCTGTGGGGAGAAGCTGACTCAGGAACACTATCTCCATGAGCTTGGCTGGTGCCCTGGACTGAGATAGGCCGTTGGCCCGGTCCAGCCCCTCCCCGCCACGTCTTGCCTGTTCTTCTCCCTCCCGTTAATCCTCTGCTCGCATAGACACAGACCCATGGCAAAGCAGTGAGGGCGAGCGCTATCTTCTCGTGTCCCCTCCCTGAAGCCCTCTGCTTCAGACCGTACCTGCTGTCCCCCAGACACACGCTGTATCACTGTGCCTGGCTGGAGCCTCGACACACGAGCACTGTAGTAGAAAGAGCAGACGGTCCCAGGTTCAAACCTTGGCTTCACTGCGTGACCCTGACAAGTTGCTTGACCTCGAACCTCAACTTCCTAACTTACGTGATGGGAAGAGGAACACCCGCCTTCAGAGTCGTGGTGGGGAGAGGCGATGTCCTCTGGTGGGTGCCTGGCAGGGACGCTTAATGGGTGTTGTTTCTCTTTTCTTGATCCGTGAAGGGGCCCACCTGAACCCCGCCTTCTCCCTGTCCATGTGCCTCCTGGGACGCCTGCCCTGGGCCAAGCTCCCCATTTACTCGTTGGTGCAGGTTCTGTCTGCTTTCTGTGCCTCTGGAGCCACATATATCATGTACTACGGTAACGGCGAGCGGCGTCGGGGCATCCACTTGTGGGCAGGGTGCCTTGGGACAGTGTTCCATGAGCACAGATGACAAGCCTGGGTGTTCCCCTCCCCCGCAGACGCCCTGCAGAACTACACAGGTGGGAACCTGACAGTGACTGGCCCCCAAGAGACGGCTTCCATCTTTGCCACCTACCCTGCATCCTATCTGTCCCTGACGGGTGGCTTCCTGGACCAGGTAGGTTGTACGTGTGTGGGGGACGCCTTTGCCTCTGCCCTCTGGGACCCCAGCCTGTTGTTCGGGCTCTGGGTGGACTGGGACGTGGGGTTGGGGCTTATCTATGCACCACCCCCCGCCCCAGCTGCCTGTGCTAGACAGAGTCGGGTGACACGTGGTGGTGACCTGGGCTGTTTGAGTGAGAGAGGGCAGATGGAGCATCTCGAAGCTGATGGGAGCCCCTCTGCCTGTCAATTCCAAGGTTCTGGGTACCTGGATCCTGCTGGTGGGGGTCCTGGCCCTCCTGGACTTGAAGAACAAGGGAGTGCCCGCAGGTCTGGAGCCCGTGGCCGTGGGGCTGCTGATCCTGGCCATTGAGCTAGCCATGGGTTCCAACTGTGGGGTCCCACTCAACCCTGCCCGGGACCTGGGCCCACGGCTTTTCACCTACGTGGCTGGCTGGGGCCCTGAAGTCTTCAGGTGGGAGATGGCCTCCCCTGGTACCTCCCTCTGCTGGGCACTCTGTCCCCGGACCCCAGCTCTCTCCTCCTAAACAGCTCTCGTGGCCTCTTAGGACAGCGTGCTTCCTCTAAGCCCCAGTTCGCCCCTCTCTCTGGCCCCCCCGTCCCCTCCACCCTTTTCGCCGACACAGTAAGATTCAGAGGTCGTGTTCTTGGACACGTACTATCTCTTCGGGCATTAGTGAGCTCATCAGCAAAATGGGCCTATTCGGATAATTCCCAGTGGCGCGAGGCTACGCCAAGCTGCCTTGGGGCTCCTCTTCTCCAAGTGCTAGGCTTGGGTGCCAAGACACCTTCTTCCTGGGGCCGATCGCCTCGGGAACGGCCTGGGGGAGCTCTTGTTACTGCCCCCAGCCCTTCGGGGGAGGCCGGGGGCGTCGCCCTGATGTCTCCCTTTTGCCTTTCTCTTGCAGCGCTGGCAATGGCTGGTGGTGGGTGCCTGTGGTGGCCCCTATGGTGGGGGCCACCCTCGGCACGGCCACGTACCAGCTGCTGGTGGCGCTGCACCACCCTGAGGACGAAGAGCCAGCTCAGGATCTAGAGTTTGCCCAGCAGAAGGCCCCGTACTTGGAAACTCCTGACTCAGCTAAGAAGCCGGAGAGCAAGCTCTGATTCTCACGCCACAGTCCTCCACTCCCTCATGGACACTGAAGAGGGCCTGAGGCCCAGGCCTGGCGGCAAAGATATTCTTCCTCTTTCTTAAGATACCAGGCCCTGGGAAGCTTCTCTGTGTACTCACCTAGGCATCGCTTCCTCCTAAACTGGGGAGGATGCCCGGACAGGGGGCAGGCCAAGGTCGGGGCCCCGGCTCTCCATCCTCTCCTCTCCCAAGCAGGTTCTGGGACTCTGAGGGCTGCCAGAAGCGTAGTTCCTCAAAACAGCCGCCAGAGGGCGCGCACCCTGGAAGCAGGACTGGGAAGGATGCGGGAACCTGCGGGGTGGCGGGGGCTCGATCCTGGGGACTTCCTCCAAAGCTTGGTCCTCGCTGCCTGACTCCCCGTTCTCCCCCAGATGCAGCCGCCCCCAGACAGTAGGTACGGGTGGGGAGACCGCCCCCGCCGAGGGGGCGTGG